CCTAAACCCCTAAACCCCTAAACCCCTAAACCCCTAACCCCTAAACCGTAAACCCCTGAGTCCCTAAACCCCTAAACCGCTGAACCCCTAAACCCCACACACCAACCCTCCTTCCCAAAAAACAGCCTCGGAACGCCGCCTCTCCTCCTCGGCCTAGGGGATCTCTTTGAGGGGCTTTGGGGGGGGGGGGGGGGGGGCCCATGGGCGGTGGGGTTTGCGGTTCGGCATTCATTCGTCAGGCGGTTTGTCGAGAGTTGGAAATAAGGGGGCATAATAGTCAGTTTTTCTGATATATATATATATATACACACGTATATATGTATATATATATATATATATATATCACATGGGACTTCGGGACTTTTTCTATGTAGAACAGCTTCTATTTGTGTAGAACCTTGCTTATGCTGACTCCCCTTCCAAAACCCTGGAGTACATAACATGCGAGGTTGATGCAGATATTTTGCTGGCAGAGACGACTTTCTCATTTTTCAGAAAAAGTGAGTTTCGTTCCGGGCTTAGGTCCTATGTCCGGGTTTAGGCCTTGTGGTTCCGGGCTTAGGCCCTACGGTTTCGGGTTTAGGTGCTATGGTCCTATGGTTCCGGGTTTAAGCCCTACGGTTCCGGGTCTGGAAGCTCTGAACCCTGAATCATAGTCAGGCTTAAAAAGATTCGGGTTTATGTATGTGTTAGGGTTGAGGGTTTAAGGTGTGGGGTTGGTTGCTTATGGCTTGAGGCTTGGGTTTCAGGGTTTCGGGTTTGGAGTCTAGGTTTCAAAGGTTGCAGGCTTGGAGTTTGGGTCTGAAGGTTGAGGGTTCGGGCTTGGGGTTCAGGATTTAGGGTTGCTAGCCCTCTTGGGCCACGTAGGCTTTAGGGGGTGCTTGTTGTGCTGGAGATCAAAGGTCTTGGCTTCGGGGTCCAGAGCTTGTTGCAAGTGGGGCAGAAGCGATCCAAAAAGCAAGGTTTAGGGTTTAGGGTTTAGGGTTTAGGGTTTAGGGTTTAGGGTTTAGGGTTTAGGGTTTAGGGTTTAGGGTTTAGGGTTTAGGGTTTAGGGTTTAGGGTTTAGGGTTTAGGGTTGGCAACACCAATTCGACTTCCAAGACAGCCTTCCGTGGATCAAAATCATGACAGCTTAAGTTTTACATTCGGGCAAAGGGGGAGTTGTCTTTCATAGGGTGCAGTGGCTTACGGCTCACAGAAATCAGTGTCAGCATACACTTCCAGGAATGAAACCGAACTGGTTCAAGGCTTGGGGATCTCGACCCAAGAGGAACCCAGGAATGAAAGGGTGCCCTTTTTGGTGTCAAGGGGTTTACAAGGGCACCCCAAAACCCCCCAAAAAAAGGAATAAGGGCCTACTCTGGGTCCTAGTAGCCCTAAACCCTAAACCCCTAAGCCCTAAACCCAAAGCCCTAAAACAAGGGGGGAACAATAAGGGAGTTAGGGCTAGGGCTTAGGGCTTAGGGGCCCTGGACTTCCTCCTCTAGCAAATGCACTGGCAAGCCTGCTGGAGCCGTCGCAGTTCGCGATCTCTTTGCTCCTGCACACGCTGTGAGGGCTTAGGGTTTAGGGTGGAGGGTTATAGGGTTCTAGGGTTATAGTGTTATAGAGTTATAGGGTTATAGGGTTATGGGTTATGGGTTCAGGGTTTAGGGTTTAGGGTCCATCACCGGAAATCTTCGGATGCTGGGGATCGTATAAGGCCAAGTCCCTCAACGCCTCAACCCTATAAACCCCAAACCCTACTTGGAAGTTCCGTTTGACTTAGTAAGCAGGGCCAGAAAGGTGGGCTATGGAAATTCTAATGGGGTCTCTAGGGGAGACTAATTAACTAGACTTGCTAAGTCAAAAGACCTTGAAAATATAAGCCTAGCCCTGAAACATATAGGGGTCCAAGCTTCAGGGTCAAGGATAACGAGGTAGTGATCAGTAAACCCTTATAGAACCGCAACTTTTGGTAACAAGATGTAACAAGCTTGAGTTTCACAACAGCCGAAAGCTCAAAACCCTAATTCCCCCCTAAGCCCCCTGAACCCCCTACGCTCTCTGAACCGCAAGCGCGTGGCCTGCTCCAAGGAAGCGCGCACCTGATCTTCCTCACGTTGGATTTGTGTTCTGTTTATATGTGTAGGTTTTATAGTGTTTAGGGTTTGTATAGGGTTTAGGGTTGCAGGGTTTAGGGTTTAGGGTTGTGTGCATATGCCTGCGTACGTCTAAATACATGCATTTGCATACATGTTGATGTGAAATATGTGTATATGTAGAAATGTATACATGCAAATACGAATATTTGAACGTGCGTATGTGTACGCATATAAGGCTACACATATGCATGTTATGTGTGTATATATATATACATATATATATATATATATAGCTTGAAGGCTTCTGGGGCTTCTAGCGCTTTAAGCTTTAAGGCTTCTTAGGGGTTTAGAGTTTCGGGGGACATTACCTAGACCATCCAAACATACGTTTATTTCCATACGTCAAGAAATCCTGTCGAGATGTTGGAGCTTGGGATTTCCATGCGGAATGGAAATTTCCGCGCGGGATTCATGGCTGGGTCTTTGGGAGAGTTTATATGAGGACAGGCTTCATGTGTATTGTTTTGTGGGCCTATGGGGGGCTTTCAAGAATTCCAGTTCTTCGGCGGTAAACTCCTCAAGCACCCTGGGAACTCCAACCCTTGGCCAGTACAAGTGCAATCCCCACCTTAAAACTCGAATCCTGGGCAAATAAACTCTTGAACTTCTACGAAAACCACGGGGGCCTGTAAACATGTATATATGAGCTACAACCCAAGAACTCCAACCCGACCCCTCTGCATCGTGGTGGCCGTGGACCTGATGCGACTCCACCCGCTGGAGGCTCAGATCTCTTTTAAGCAAACTGCAAGCTCCATTGCTTCTGGTACAAAAGCAGACACACACGCATTGTGCGAATCGCACATGTGGCATTCGAAGCTCTGCGAGAGACGCGAGCACAACGCCCGATAAAATCTTCATCTGCCCAGCAGGCCATACCTTACAAATTCTGGCTCGGATACTGAGAGATAGGTTGGCTCGAGTTGCAAAATAGCAGGGTGGGGGGTGCGGGTTTCTTTAGGACAAACACAATTACAGACACGAGTTAAATTGGACAAAAAGTAATAGCTGCCGAATGCAAAGCCTAGAGGCTCTGTGGGTTGAATATTTGTTGCAAGTTGTTTTGCAACTGGATCTCCAAGTCTCTCCTCGGACGCTTGTGCACTGTTGCGGACGCGCACTGTTTCAACATTCTGCGGCAATGTTAGAGACGTTGGCTAGTCATGCCACGTAGCGTGATGTGCATCTGCATGTGAATTTTGGGCTTCAGTCGGAAGAGAGGCCACTTGAGAAGGGCTGTTGCTGCAGCCAATGCCCCCACTCCTTCCTTAAGCCATTCACTGGCAAATCCATTCACTGGCATCAGTAGTAGCACTTTAGCATGAAATGGTTTGCGAGTTTACCGTCGAAATGGAAAACCTCCTTACAACAAAAGTTCACTCAAAGCAGCTGTCATGTTCCATCCATGCTGCACAAGTTGCTGAGCAACATCACGGGGGATCCATGGGCCATGCGAGTTGACGCCCCGGAAGAAAAAGTTTGCACTGGCAATGGTCCACTGAAGGAGCTCGTAGAGATCTCGGTGTTCAGCGGCCTACATAGGCGCGCGAAATAAGAGGAACAGAGCCTACGTAGCTGTCATGATTGTACTGGTGCAACACACAAAATGTGGGTCGCAGGGCACAACAAACAAAACGTTGATCGGAGAGATTAGTGTCCACCCTTTCAGAGACTCCAGGCTCACTCAAAAAGTCGCCCAGCCAGCAGCAAAGCAGGATCGTGTCGAATCCTTTGCCCGTTCCAGACGGAAAATTTTGAAGCCTTAGATCAGATAAGCTTACCTTGGGAGGGGCGCTCGCAAAGCCCTAGATAACCCTTATACGAACACAGCCCTCTAAGCCCCACCCCAAACCCTCTTAAAGGTCTCCCTCACCCTTATAAGACACAGTCCAACGTATGACTTGAGGCTGGGCGCGTCTTCATCTTGAACTTCAACAACGTGAAAGCATCGATGCTGCTGGACTTGGAGTTAGCCCGACACCACCCCACAAAGTTCTGGTATAGGGCACTCAATCGGATTTGCGTGGAACGGCCAGGGACGACCCCTAACCTTGCCAATAGAACGATGCCTGAAGACGCCATTCCAGACCCAAAGCCCTGAATGGCAAATGTGTGAGCAGGGTCCGTTCGAATTCTCCAGGCATCGTCCGCCGCAGGGATGTTCCTTAAAGGGCTGCGCATATTTTTCCAAGGGGGTGCAGAGGGAACATCTCTGGTCCAAGAACGTATAGCAGAGGCGGGCGTGGTATTGTACCAGTCCTGAGGGGTCCGATTACACAAACAATAAACACACAAGTCCATGACACAGCAGGGTTTTGGACAAGCAGGCCAGGCCTGCTGGTCACACATGTGGCAAACCCGAGTCGAGGAAAACCCAGTTTCCAGGCAATACGCTTTTCGAATCCACACCCAATCACCTTTGAGGCCCAACCACGCCATGCGGAAGTGAACAGTTTCACCGTCAGCGGTAACCTGACGTGTTACAACAGGCAAGTCTTCATAAAACTAGCTGTAGACCAGGACGTGTCAACCGAACCTATACGTCAACAGAGGCTATAACATTGACATATTATTTTTATAGGTCCGGTTGTCACGTCCAGGGAAACAAAAACAACCCGATAGACACTGGCCAAGATGGATTGTAGCACAGGTGCTTCCAGCCCATCTTGTAGAAGCGATGCGCAGTCTTCGGCCAAGCAAGACAACAGCTGGAAGATTGTAGTGTCTCCACGATAGCAGCGAGAGGGCAGGACGGTGTAAAGCAGTCTTGAACAAAAGGAATGCCTTAAGACAGTTCAAGTGAACACTGTGGTCCAGTGGTTTTGAGGTTTACAGGGTTTAGAGGATTTATAGGATTTATAAGGTCTTTATAGGGTTGGCAAGGTTTTGGTTTAGGGTTTCTGAGCAGCCTCTTTTGTCTTCACCAAGACACCCACTGTGGTTCAGTCGTTCCTTTCCCATATGCGACAAAAGCCCCTGAAACGATATCACCATCAGAGGTGATTTCTGCCGGCCTCGACCCTCATCACCATGAACGAGGTAAGGCAGGGTCCGGCGTAGGATATTGTTGGAGTACTGGAATATGTCGTGGGTGGGATCCACACCCCTATACAAGTTCCAAAACTCTTCCAGCAACGGCTCCCAAAGATCACGTTGATGGACACTGTGCCCGCCCAACAGAAGCTGACCCCCTTGCTCCTCCATAATGTACCGAAGCCAGCTCGAAAGCTTGATCACGGGCCAGGGTGCTTCAGTGTGCTGCCTTGTGCGAGGATGTGTAATGTCCACAGTAGTATAGTCAATACACACTTGTAGAGTGAAGTCGGGGTGCTTCAATAGGCGATGCAAGTTTCTGCAAACATTGGCTTCGTCTTCTCCTCGCGAGCACTTGGCAAGCCTTTCCAGCAGGGGATCTCGAAGACCTTTCAGAGTTGTTAAACCCTAAACCCTATAGACCCCAAACCCTATACCTATAAGCCCTACACCCTATTTAAACTCTGTAAACCTCTGTCCCACAAGCCTAAACCCTAAACCCTAAACTATAAACCATAAACAACCCTAAACCCCATAACCCTAAACCCTAAACCCTATAGACCCTAAACCCTGAAAACCCTAACCCTATAAACCCTAAACTTATAGACCCGGGTTGTGATCGTAGAAAGCTTTTAGCCCTGCGGGAACAGCCTTTCTTTCGGAGCTTCTTGAGCGCTTTCTTGGCCAGGCGGCATGTGCGGGCGGCTGAGTCCGCCTTATCTGCAAAAAAATTGGTTACCAAAAGCTCGTTCCCCAAGGGACTCCAATAAGGGACCCCTATGGAAACCCCCATATTGGTTTGTGCTTGATCCAAGCCCACTGAAACAACACGACCCCTGAATAAGAAACAGTTCTTGGGCAAAGGGCACCAGACGCCAATCCCATCAGGAGTTCATCAACGAATCCATCAGAACTGTCATCGTCCTCGTCGACGTCAGGACCTGAGCACGCGACCCACCACCAACACTTCAAACATGGTCTGCGAGAGCACACGAGTCATGAGCATCCAGCGAGCATCAGCACAGTCGAAGTCATGACCTGCGTAGAGGCATAGAGATGCGAGCGCTGGTAAGTTACACGAAGCCTTGCAGAACCCCAGAGGCCTTAACGAACGATGCCCTTTTTAACCGCACTTTGCCGCCAAATCATACCCAGCAGACAGGCGACCCATGCGAAGCTGTAAGAACAACTTGCGCGTCGAACTTTTAAACAGTTGGCATCGTTTCAGTCTACTGCGATGCACGCTTGGCTTTCTTGGGCTTGCCCTTCGCCGTTGCGGTCGGGGCTGCTCGCTTCTTGCTGGCTGGTTTCACTTTGGGAGTCGGGGCGACAGCACCAGCTTTGATGGTCCTCAGATAGGTTCATGCGAGCTTGCTTGCTAACTAATTTCGACAATCCAGCACATCAATTGGCTTCAGTAAATGCTCAGCTAAAAAGCTTGGCCCTAGTGATCCAATTGTTGAGCGCCAGGTCCGTCTTTGTGCAAGACACAAATTTCGTCAAGGTCTCACTTTTCAGCCTCCCAAGCAACTTCAGGCATCAAAAGCAAGCATAACATAGATATTCAAAACAAAACTTTGCTTCAAAGACTTCAAGACTTCAATTTAATTTTAGAACGGCTGCAGGAAACTGGCCTCTTGATCTCCTTCGCTTCGGTCGCCGTTGCTGCTGTGCCCTGGATGCTGATCAGCGCATCATAGTTGTCGTTCAGGGTTTTCAAGCAGTCCTTCAGACTGGCTACCAGCCTGACAGAAGCACACAGGTTCTGTTCGGGTTTTGATTGCCGGCACAAGGATAGCTGTGTAGGAATTGAGGTGAGTTGCTGGGTGGCTTTGTTCCCGTTTTCATTCCCAGACTTCCCACTCTTCCCTGAAGCCGAAGAAGTTGCGGAGCTCTCCAGCTTCACCTTCAACAGCAACAGCCAACAACCTTTTTAACTACACACTCGAAGCCTCATGTAGCATTGCGTGATAGCCACAATTCATGCAGTCCTTCACGGCTTCTGCTCGTTCGATTTTCTTTCCGAGAACAGAGAGATAGCCAGGGATGAGGGTTAGCGGGGAAACGTTCTGCTGGAGGCTGGGAAAGCACAACCTTGCATGGTCTCAACCGGGCACACAGTAAGTCAACTTTACGGGGCCTGACAGTCTATTCTGGACAGTGTCGGTTTGAGGCGAGGCTATCCCGAGTAGCTTGAATGAAGCTCCTGCGTGAGCAGCAGCTTCCGCATCTGCTTGGCTTGTGTTGCCCGGCGTGACACTTACCCCAAGCACTTCGTTCTCGGGACGCAAGAGGGCCCCATCTGGATCCTGAGCTTCGCAGGTCTGAAAATGTCTTTTCTTTAGAAATCTGGGACATGACAATTTGTTTGTTAAGAGAAGGCTCATCCATACTGAACCCGCTTGAAAATCCAACACGAGAACCACTAGTGTTGGTCTTCGTCCACAGCATTTCAAAGGGGATGTCAGCCTCTTCGCACCCGTGGACCTCATTCTTGAAGATCCTGCCTCGGGCCCGTGCCCATTCGAAGGCCGCGTCTGCCATCTTCCTCTGCTGCTGAAGATGATTGCGGAGGTGGGGGGAAGGGGGGATTCATGAACAAGAGAACACAATCTTGCCAACTCTCAGTGCATCGGGAACACTGTGTGTAATGCCGCTCTTTCATGAGCCACTCCTTTGTGACGTTCCCACCCATCTCCTTGCTTTTCTTCTTCTCCTCGTGCCACCGCTCTAAGTGGCCCTCGATCTTATCAAACGAGCCGTGCTCCAGCAGAAGCTGTCTCAGTTTCTCACCTGGGTTCTTCAGGGTGTGCGAAGAGGGGCAAATTTTGACTCTTGAGGGTTTAAGGTAGTTATAGGGTTTAGGGTTAGTCGTATCTCCATCCAGACAAGATTCGGCCATCAGCAGACTTACCCATCTCCATCACATGTGGCGAAACTTTGACCTCACCTTTGGAGTTAGGCGCGAAGTGACGCCTCACCCTTAGTTGTAGCTCATCCGATGAAAACGCACACACTCCATGAACACCCCGGGCACGTGCATTATCCAGCAAGGCAGCTTCCAGTACCCCTCTGGCTTTGGTGCTTGTGAGGCTCTCGATGGGGCTGCAGGCTTGGGTCCAAAAAGCTGGCGTTTAACATCCGGGTAAAGCTTCTGGTGGTGCGGGGAAGCATTGCGAGTCCTGGGGGCCCCCGGAGTAGTAGCTTTCTTGTCACTCAAGGTTTTGGGGCTTGGTGTTGCAAGGTCAACACACTGGCTTGGGGGCGGTGTTGCAAGGCACAGCTTTGAGGACTGCGCCAGCCTGGCTGCAGTACTGCTGAGGGATGGCGGGGCTGGGTGCTTCGTGGGAGAGGGACTCGCGACATCTGGTTCTGTCGGTGTGTCGGGGAGCACCGTGACCGAATCCGATTGCGGTTTGTCCGCAAGAGCAACTGGGCAACTCCCAGCCACATGGGCAGTGGCACTAGCCGTGGCAATCGAGGGGGCACCTCCCAGAACATATTAACATCTTTAGAGGACAAGCTTTTTCGGCCTAATTAATTACAGAGCCCAAGTCAACACGAAATCGGCAGCCTGGCACCATGCTCGGAACAGGCTCGGCATCTTCAGCTGCAAGTTCACCCTGCAGCTCTTGAATCTTCCTCTGCGCAGCCTTGCAGAGAGCCGGGATCCCACACAAAGGCAAAGCTTTACCTAGGGGGGGGGGGGGGGGGAACAGTCGAAATTATCATGCTCTCGCAGACAATGGACCAGAATCCGAGCATCTAGGTCTGCGTCACTGTTGCTGGAAAATTCGGTCCACGATCTACCGACCATGTTCACACCATCGTTGAGCGATTCTAGGCTCACCATGGCCCTGACAAGCACAACTCCTTCATGTGCTAAGCCAAAGGAACTCGTTGGGAAGGAGCAAGTAAACACACAGACCGGCTTGCAACGAGAACCACTGCTGGAGCAAATAGGAGCCTCCTTAAAAACAGTTTGCAGCCCAAAAAAGGTGCGCGACGGCAAAAAACATACGCGCAAAAACGCCCCACACACGGATTTTGAAATTGCGCGCGTGTTGCGGGAAATTGCGCGCGTGTTGCGGGAAATTGCGCGCGTGTTGCGGCCCAGCGGGCCCCACCCCAACCGCACAAAACCAAAAAACACGCGTGACCCCAAAAAATGCGCGGGGCGCAACGGCTGTGTTTCCCGGGCGCCTCTGTTGAAAGGCACCAGCAGCTAGAAGTAGTCATGGCATTTTCCACTCTGCCAGGCTTTGGCGACGGTCTGGTGTTCTGGCAAGAATGAGGACGACGCGGCTGGTCTTCCTCGGCCTTTGGCTTTCAGGTGAATTGCTACCCTAGACAGGTCCTTGGGTTACTCCTGGGCGAGCAGAGAGTTGTACTCGTCACGGAGGTTTTGGAAGCAGTTGACCTAGGCTTATAGGGTTCATATAGGGTTTATAGGGTTCTTTCAGGGTTTATATAGGGTTCATAAGGTTTAGGGTTTAGGGAGCCTGTCACCCTTTTCGCAGATGCTCCGATGAAACCTCTAGCGTAAGGCCAACAAAGTATTCTAGATTCAGCTGTGGACCTTTGCATTGAGGGCTTGCTCAAAGGCAGCCATTGTTGACTGCCAGGTGTTCGGTATAACAAGGTGTTGTCCACGCCGAAGGTACCAGTAAACAGAAGCGACAGACGCATCTTCCCAACAATCCCCGAGATGCATGGAAGCGAAGATTTCTTGATCTGTGTTTGTGAGGAGGCCAGGGACTGTATTCTTGTTCCGCAAAGAGGCGATCGCTTGCTCCTTGCCGACAAAGACATTGTAGATTTGCTTGACAAATTCCATGGGTATACCCTGGACAGCAGGAAATGGCTGTTCAGGCGGCGACACCTTCGGGGATTTGAAGTAAGGGGTTGGACTCTATAGAATTAGGCCAAGAAACCCAGCCGTCTTTAGCTCGCTGGTGCCCACATAGCATCGTTTGCCTGTTGTCTTCTGGACATACCTTCCTCGTTCGGGGCAAGCGCAAACCTCTCTGCCGTATTTTGGGTACGATCACTGGAGTCACGCAAAGACTCTTTTTAAGTTGCAGCCTGGCATCTAGAAGTCTTAACGATGGGTTTGGACTTGCGGTGTTTCCTTGACAAAATTCCGCGGTCGAGCTCCTTTACTGAAGCCGAGTTTGAAAACATTGTTGTTCTCTTTGGCGAGCCACCTCCCCAATGCATGAGCCAAAAGCTCTGGCGATAAACCTTAGGGGCATGTAGTGGCTGTGCCTCGAATAATGCGATTTTCCTATCCTGGCTACTGAGCTACTCAAAGCTTTCAAGCAGCGTAAAGCACACTGTTGCACAGCCACTCGAAACGATCATGGCGAACGATAAGGCTTGTTGCAGGGTGCTCGAGCAGCCAGACTGCGTGGGCTGCAGTCATTACCAAAATCGCCAGCACCACCCTGGGTGTATTGGGGTTCTTTAGGAGGAAAGGCTTTGAGTGTCAGCCAAACAAACAAGGAACAGCCATTGTCATCCCAGGCACCTGCTGATCAACTTATTTGCGTCGGCAACATAAGCATGCTGCTCCATGCCCCTGAAGTTAATGTAGTTTCGCATCGATGTTCCACGGTTCGGGAGCCCCCAGGATGAGCACTGTGGACCCATAAGGTTGATCGCCATAGGTTTCTCGTTCATAATGATCCACAAAACCAACCTCAGTTAGGTCTTTACCTTGCCGACGCAACCCTTTGTCTAACAGAACACACCCTTACTTCGGCAGAGGTGGGCCAAGCAGCGCAAATCCGGCATTGCTGTTGAAGTCCATGCAGGCGCCTCGTTCGATGTCGATGGTGCCCACCGTGTGACCCATGGACTTCCTTCAAGAGATCTTCATAAAGAGGGCGGGGGTGGAACTCTGTATTGTTCTTCATGAGAGAAAGCAGACTGATCAAAGCGAGACACCAGTGCGCAGATGCATTCCCTTGCCCTGAGAACAAGTCCAGAAGATCAAACCGCTTGTGCTTCGGAAGCTGTGTGCTCCACGTCAACAAGAGCATTATTGCCACCAAGACCTCAATGACCAAGCAAACCTATATGACTGCTAGGGCTAGGTGTCAGAGCCGTCATCGCTCATAAGCCTTGCAAGTAAGAAGCTTTCGGGGCTCCAACATGAACTAGGCGCACAAGCCAGGAGGAGTCCGGCAGCGTCGGCATGGCATCAACGAAGGAACTGTGTTCTTCTTATCGAAGAGTGCAACCCACACCAGGACGCGACAACCGAAACTACACTATACCAAAAAAAACGTCAACAGCATACTTTCTATTGACATATTGTTTTCTAGGTTCGGTTGACCCGTCCTGGCATAGCCCTGAATCAAATTTCGACATATAACTAATGTACATATTCGAAGCGCCCATCGCCTGTGATACATGTCTACCACAACAATTGTGAATAGGTCCGAGCTCCAAATCCCAGCACATCCATCACAGGTACTATGTCAACGCAGATCGGAAGGAGCCCTCAAGCAAAGCTGGGGGGGGGGGGGGGCGGGGGCAGGGCTGGCGAACCTTGTGCAGCAGCACGGCGTTCCCACGCCATTCGAGCGAAACCTGTTGCCGCGGCAGAACGTTAGTGGCATTCTATATAGCAGGGACTGTTCAAGAACATTGGCGTCGTTGCGAAATCAACCCATCTTGTTTATCCGAACTGCAGAGAACCAACAAGAACAAATCTCTCTCCAGGAAGAGTAGATGCTGGCATCACGCAAGCTCCCTTGCACACCCTGCGAGTCGAGCCTGGAGGTCTTCTTCTCGCAAGAGCTCTTTGCCGACCAGCACCTGCCATTCATGAGCGAGGCAGAAGGGAAGAGATAGTACCCTAAACCCCAAACCCTGTAAACCCTAAACCTTATAACCCTGTTAGAACCCTATAAACCCTAAACTCTGTAATAAACCCTAAACCCTATCCCTAAACCCATAAACCCTAAACCCTCAACTCCCCTAACCCCTCTAGGTAGTTCAGGGTTTACATACACACACATATATACAAATATATTCATATTCGAAAGGGTCTATATAATATTCGGGTTTAAGGTTGATTAGGGTTTAGGGTATTGTTGGACGGTTCCCCTAGCTGGTACCCACCACACTAGCAGCGGGTTGATTAGGGTTTGGGGGTATTGTTGAACGGTTCCCCAGCTGGTAGAGTACTAGCAGCGGGTTGATTAGGGTTTAGGGGTATTGTTGAATGGTTCCCCTAGCTGGTACCAGTTCTAGCAGGGAGGGAATGAGATAGCATCGGTGTGGCCTCAGGATCTCCGCAGTAGGAATCGATGTGCATGAAGACCTGGCCCACGCAGCTATGCGTAGATTGATTCGCTGGGCAAGGCCATAGTCATCAGGAAGTTGGCACAGCACACGGATGACAAGGTTTTGCGCTGCAATCTCGCATGATTTCGAACACTGTAAACAAGGCTTCGACTCAGGCTGGCCCACAATACCCCTGCTAAGTAAGCCCTCCCGAGACAGCCGCGTGAAAATGAGCTGACAGCATGTGTGTCGCTCAGCTACCCACATCCCCTTCAGAAGCCATCAGCTTCATATTGTGTTGTCGGCCACATCACTCTTCATCAGCGTACGCCTAAGGAGGATGCTTTGGGGGGTTTTCGCATCAAGGTATGAACACATGTGTATGTATGACGCACACACAAGTGTACAGTGTACACCACATCCACAGTGCTAGCTAGAAGCCTGGCGGGCTGCCAAAATCGCCTCCTCCTCACTGAAACCCAGAGCCAACTTTTCAGCCTTGGCCCTCTTGTACGCGCAACTCTTCCGAGATTTACGGGCCTTCTTTTCAGCCTCTACGGGATCCGTCGCTGGCTCTCTCTTCTTCTTCTCTTGCTTTGCTTTCTTCTTGGGACTGGGCTTCGGTGCTTTCGCGCGGGATTTGGCCTTGGGCTTTACCTCTTCACGTGCATAGAACTGGGTGTCCTGGCTGGAGCTGGGCCCATCCGGGGCTTCCTTGTCACCAGGCTCGCCCTTTCCTTTCAGCTTGGGCACAGCCTTGGGCTTGGGGGTGTTGACCTTTGGGGCTGCTTTCTTTCCCGGCTGGGCCTTGGCTTTGGAACCTGCTGGGCGTCCTGGCTTGCGCTTCCTCGGGGCTTCTTCAGCATCATAAGCATCACCAGTGTCCTTGCTACCTGCTTTTTTCCTTGCGGAAGCTGCTTTGGCGTGGGCTAGCTTCTTCTGTTCTGACGGTGACAGCACAGGCGCTGCCTCCAAGAGGGCTGGTCTTTTTGCAATCGGCTGCTGTGGCGTGTCGGTTGAGGTCTGGGCAACCTTGCTTGGCTTTGGCATGGTTTGACTGGTCAGGGTAGGCGCAGACTCAGGGTGCACGTGTGGCTTGGTGACGTTGGGCCCCAAGCATTCCTGCTCCGGCTGCATGGGCTCATCTGCTGGCTCATTTTTGATGGGCATATCTTCTGCCTCCCTCTTGATGGGCTTATCTTCTGGCTCTTTCTTGATGGGCTTGAGTTCTGGCTCTTTCTTGACGGGCGTTTCTTCTGGCTCTTGCTTGATTAACACAGCTGGACTCCTAGGCTCAGCTGGCTCTCTCTTGACAGCACACGGCTGCTCGTGAGAAGGGCTTGCGCGAGCAGCTGGCTCACGCACGGCCTCCACTTGACCAGGCCTCGATTTGGGTCCTGCTTCGCAAGAACCATCACCCGTCTCGAGCTCTCCGCCCTCTGTGCTGGACGAATCACGCCCACCACTTGCGGCTTCCTTTAACTGAGCCGCTTCCATTCTTGCCACTTGCACTCTAGCTTCTTCCAGCACTGCTGCAGCGGCCACAGGGTCCATGGGCTGTGTCTCTTCAGTGTCTTGATGGACCACCCTACCTCACACACCCACAGTGTGAACCATGGTAATTACAAGGAGCACAACCCCCTTGCATGTGCGTTATGCTAGCAGGAAATCAAAAAGTCAAGGCATGCAAGGTGCGATCGATCTTCTCGGGCTTCTTCTCGCTGGTTCGCTGCTTCTTCGCTGTCAACAGTGCTTCTAGGTTCACACGGCACTGCTCTAGCTCTTCCAGGATCGCCCTTTTTTTGTTCGGGTGGGTCTCCTTTGCACCAGTAACAGGGGACACACTCTGTGGCGCACGAGGGCTCGGCGTCTCCCAAGACTTGGGCGGAGACTTGCTGCCTAGGCGGAGGCAAAGTAAGAAGGATTGAATACATAGCCACTGGGACGACTGATGCAAGGGTGCTTTCACACGAGTGCAAGTCACAGATTTTGTACCGTCGCTGCTCGGAAGATACTGCAGCAGGAGCTTCTGGGCACGGGTGGGGCTTCGTGGGCTCAATACCCTCATCAAGCTCATCATCTGTAAGCGTCTCTTCCTCTGCACCTTCATCTGCCTGGGCAATTGCACTTTCAATTGGGCTGCCCAGAAAAGCAACCGGAACAACTTCAACTAGACCCTCTAGCCCCATGTGTCCTGCGCATGTTCACCAGCATGTTCTTCACCAGCATCATTGACCGACAGCGACGACGATGACCGTCCTTGATTGTGGACAGAAAGTTGGCACGACCTAATTCGTGATTGTCTATTGGGTGACACTGGGTGGTACATCTGCAGGTTGCAGAAACAATTCAAGCAAGATGCCTGCAGGAATCGGAATGCCAAGAATTTCATACATCTTGCGTATGTTTTCTTCTGTTGGGCGGTGTGGTAGTTTCGCGAGTCTCGCAAAGATCGTGATCAGGTTCCTGATTCTCCATGCTTGTGTTCGGCAGAACTTGCCTTGCAAGTGTGCAATCGTGGGCATTCATGTTGCCTAAGGCCTATAAGGATGAGGCTCAATCAGCACGCAGCACGATTATGCAACGCGACTTTGGACAGGGCACTTGCAACCTTCGGCTTTCCCTTTGGCCGAGATAGCACAAAGAACTGCGCCACATGCTCTTCCAGGGCATCCACAGAAGGTCTGACCCCCAGTACCTTTATTGCGTAAGCAATGATATCCCAGTTGAAGTCCACGTCTGCCCTCGTCAATGCATTTCCTGCTACGATAATCCTTCCACCCGCGCCCCGTGTTGCCATTTCCGGAAGATCAAACCATATCTGGCCCAAGTTGACATTGTCATCTTGAGGCACCACCTCCTCTGCCACTGCTGCCATTGCTTCAAGCACACGGATGACCCTAGCCACAGCTTCACAGCTTAGCAGGACCGTTTCTACAGCAGCGTGACTGCAACTGTGTTTGGGCAAGGTGAGTGTCCCGATGATGCGCTCTGTGTGGCGCATGAACACACAGCAACTGATGAAGAGCATCTATAAGCCCAAACAATGCAGTTACCAAGCTGATGCTCATGGTGCTCACACACGCACACACGCACACACCCACCCACACATACACACACACACACACAGACACGGGGAAGACACATAGTAGGCTGTCGTGGCCCAGTAAGCAAGCCAGGCACACCAGCCCCAGCCGCCAGCCCAAACCCGGGGATCCAAAAGTCACATGGCCCGACCTGTCAGGCGATCATCGGGGACTATGACTACCAGAGCCTCCCAAACCCCTCCCACATCCCCATATCATACTAAGGTTTTACAGAAGTCACGCCTAGAACGACAAGTCCGAAATCACAAGCTCCCGGGCGTTAGGGTGATAGCCTTATATATTGTTTTTTTCGGCTGCTTTGGTCCTTTTCCCACCCATGCCAAACCAGGCCTTCGCACCAAGGACCACAAAGCCGGGGAAGTGCTTGAACTTTCAAACAGGCAGCTCAAAAACATTAGGCACGGTTATTTGTGTACGGGACTAGCAAGAGGATGGATTTACATATGTGCAGAACACGAAGTGTGCACGTTCTACGACAAACGGAAATAAACATACGATCGGGTGGTTCAGGTATGGTTTAGTCTTTGATGCTCCTTGGTTTGGTCTGCTTGGGGCTAAGGACAGGACGTCATGCGCAGCCCCACACAGGAAGGATCTCCGCCGATAGAGCTGCGATTTACTTAGGTAGGTTCGGGGGCCCTAATGATTGATGCGAGTATGGCTTATGCATAGAGTGCTTTGCGGCATTTAACATTTAATTAGCAACCGAAGAAGAACCGTATGACACAGAAAATGCTACTGGGGGTGAGAAATACATCGTGATTGGCTACTTTAACCCCTGCCCGCCCCTAAATCTTCAGTAACTTGATCTTCTTATGTTCGCTTTGATTGTTTTCTTGTTTTGGTTTTTGAGCCAACGCGGTTCGGGCCAAATGCCTCAGGGTCTTAAGGTTCAATTCGGGGATACCCGAAAACCCTAAACATCAAAACTAAACCTTAAAGGGTATCTGTGCAACGAACTCCCTCGAGTAAAAGTGCAGGAGGAGGTTCACCTGCCACGTGCTAAGTCGCATTCTCTATAGGTTGAGTAAGGTTCTGTAGAGGGACATGGTCACGCAGAAGCCTTTCCGCACCTCGGCGCAGAAATGTTAGGCGTATACTAAAAAGGAACATATATATGTATATATGCGTACCAAGCACTCTTGCGCACACCTTTGGCGTGGCGTAGGCGTTGGTTCGCTTGAGATTCCTGAACACAATCATCCCAGGAGATGGCGCGCATTGGCCGCATTAAGCACAACGATTGCTTCCAAAAAGCAAAGCGCCAAACTCTTTTGAGGATGTGAAAAAGCAGTTCAAGCGCATTTTCTGCGGCTGAAGCTGCGGGGACTCCAAAAGCAGCTAAAATCTTGTTGCAGCACCTATGGAGGAGCAGCGCATGATTTCAGAGCTCTGTGTCGCTGCCACCGGATTGTAAGGACACTGCCTACGCCATGACACATTGCTACTCTGTTGCTTGAGCTCCTGTGTTCCCGTGTCGTGACAGTCGACTGCCAAGGCATCCAAAGGTCTGTGCGAACAAACCTTCTTCGAGTTGGGCACCATCTTGCTTGACGGCATTGCCAATGAGCGTGCGCAACTCAGAGTCACCGTACGGGTACTTTTTCACAAAGATTGTGGTGAATGCGAGGCCCGCTAGGCCCATGAGTCCGCCCAAACTGCTCAGCAAACTGAACAACTGTGGCAGCATGCCAAGTTCCACTGACTTTGTTATCACACGGTCCTCCACAACAATGACAAAAACAGTGCCGGCCATGGAAGCTGGAGCTGATTGCTTCCATTGGCAGACTGCGCTAATGTTGCCACCTCTCCCCCACCATCTAGTATTGTACTTAGATTGAGCAGAGAAGAACCGTTGTAGTTCCACGGTATAGCCCGAGTTGAACCCATGCACATACGAAGATAGCTTCATTACATGGTACTCGGCATGCGCAAACTGGTTAACAAACTGCCATCCTCCGTCTGATTTTACCAGCAGCCAGCCATACGGACCGATCCCAGAGCAAAGCGTGAAAGTTCCAGGTACGAGCATGCCTTGGATGCTTTCAGCATCCACGATGGCGCAGGTCAAATTGTTGCCGTACGTGCTGTCGAACAGCACAGTTTGATTGTAAACTGTTGAGAGAAGCTGCTTGCTGAAGGTCTCATCCATGCCGCTGAAGACTCCCAGGGTTTCTATAGCCGTGTATGAGCTCTGCACTCCCACCCCAATCTTAGAAACGTCTCCGTCTGGATCACTTGGATGTGCGCACAATGCCCACTGTGAGAAATTTCGGAAGGGTTCCATCCGCACGTCAACGGGCGGACTGTCCGCCGACTCAGCGATCGATTTGAGCTGGTAAGCGAAATAAGCACAAGCGCAGCCAAGAATAAAGCATTGCAGTACAGCTGCGGGGATTCGGAACTCCTGCACGACGCGGCGATATTCCATACAGGTCAGAGGAGTCTCTGATCTTTAAATCCCTCTTGATCGACAGTGATAGGCTGCAAGCACAGACAAGAGGGAACGTAACGGTGCATCATTCTATCCCTGATTGACGGTAGGACCGGCACCAAGGTGCCGTACTTACACATGTACTAGCTACTCTTGACCTTGCCCATTTTGGGGAGTTACTATTACACCACCTTAAAACAAGATAAATTCTATATGGGACTGTGTTTTGGGAAATATTGGTAGTGTCCCTGGAGTGCCCAACCCCAGAGTATCTCTACCAAGAGAGGGTGGGGACGTTCGAAGTAAAATATTTGCTTTTGTTTGGGCTATATTGGGTAAATTCTATATCGTAAAGTGTTTGGGGATATGGACGGTGGTGTAAACACCCAAACTGGGCAAGGCCTACCCTAGCTGATAAACCCCAATCCCTAAACCCGAAACCCTAAACTCTGAACCCGTCGAGCGCTCAAACACGAGAAGCCTGCTCATTCGCACCCCGTTAACGGGGTGTCGCCTTCTTCTTCTCTTCGAGCTTCCGTTTGGCCTCTCTTCTTCGCTGCTCGACCTTCCCGGGGGGGCAAGACCCTTTGTTGGGTTTATAGGGTGTTTGGGATGTAGGGTTTAGGATTTCTCGAGTTTCAGGATTTGGGGTTTAGGCTCAGGGTTTGGGACTTTTGGGTTTTAGGATGTGGGTTTACAGCTGAGTTGCCCAGAAACAACAAAAAACCCAAAAGCCTAAACCGCAGAGACCGAACGATGAAAAAGGAACACTTTTAGATTTTATTTTGCTCAACGGAGGAGTTGATAAGGGTCTCTATCTCATGGTATCGAGGTGGATGCTCACGTTCTGCACAGGGTCTACAGGTTCCAGTCTTTATGGCTTGGGGTGAAAGGTCTTCCAGTGGTCCAGGGCATGGACGCACCCCCATGTTTAGGGTTTAGGGTTTAAGGCTTAGTGAAACGATTTAGGGTTTGGGCTTCCTGATTTAGCCTAGACGGTGTCGGCAATAGCCTTAGTTGATTTCTCAAGGAGCCTGTCAGGAAAGTCCAACACTCATTACTTCAGGAACATGCTTTCGTATCCCTAAACTCTATAGGTCGCTGAACCCGCTAGGCAGGCGTTCAAGCCCTAAACTCGAAAAGCCAAGCCGAACCCCTTCCCGCCCGTTTTACAGGGTGTCGGGTTTAGGGTTTAGGGATCAGGGGAACAACCCAATACACATCCTTTAGTAGGAAGTATAGTAGCATAGGGTATATATGACCCCCCCATTTTAGGGTCCGTTTGGTCCCGACGGTAAGCCCTAAACTCTAAACTCTAAACTCTAAACTCTAAACCCCCCCCCCAAATTAACCACTCTCCCTCGGGACCTAAGTTCTATGAAAGGCTTTGGTAAGCCCTCAAACCAAGGTGACCGCATATTCTGCTAATATTAGGGAGCTAAGGCTACTTCCGTATTGTGAAGTAAGATAGGGATCTTATACTAACAGTCCTCCAATGGGGATTGTAGTACTCCCTACTAGAATCCCTATTAAGGACTGTTGGTATAAGGGGGAACATCCAGTTTGTAAACCATAAACGCTGTAGGGTTCATGTGGTCCCTACACTTAGGGTTTAGGGTTCAGGGTTCAGGGTTTAGGGTTTAGGGTTAAGGGTTTAGGGTTTAGGGTCAAGGTTGCCTCCTTCTTGTGCTTGTGGGCCAGGTCGAAATCCATGGTTCGACGATCGGCCTTGAGACAAAAAGGGTTTAGGGTTTAGGGTTTAGGGTTTAGGATTTATTAGGGTTCAGGGTTTAGGGTTTAGGGATTAGGCTTTGGAGGATTGATCCTGAGATTGGGATCCTAATCCTAATTGCCGCGCATTAATGACTCCCTCATAAGGGGATACGGTCCCCTACTTTAGGGGTCTTTGTCGGGTTTAGGGTTTAGGGTTTAGGGTTTAGGGTTTGGGGTTTAGGGTTTAGGGCTTCTTGCCGAGCGGCTCGCTGGCACTATACTTGACGAATTGATGTGCAACTGTTGGCTCAGCAGTCGAGCCAAAATGGCTCTGGAATAACCACAAGCAATCTAGGCTGCCCAGTAACCTAGGCTTAAAAAGGGTGCCCTTTTTTGCTTCAAGGGGTTTACAAGGGAACCTAAACCCCCAGAAGGGAATAAGGGTACTACTGGGCATCCTAGCAATAAAACACAAACAGCAAGGAACCGCCCCGAGGCACACTGCAATCCTCCCCGGAAACTTCTCCAGAACTTTCCGCGGAACCGAAACGAAACATGCCCTAAACCGAATCTAAACCCTATAAACACCGAAACCCTAAACCCCTAGGCCCTAAACCCCTAAACCCCTGAAACCCCTGAAACCTTACACCCGAAGCTTGCGCCCAAGATCCCAGGGTAAACGATTCGGGATGGCAATTTGAAAGGCGTTGCTCCATTTAGGGCTTCAAGGGCCTCCGGTTTTAGGACTTGAAAGCTTTAGGGCCTCCCTTATAAGGCTTCAAGCCAAAAAAGGCCCTAAACACTAAACCCTAAAACCCCAAAGCCTATATACCCTAAACCCGAAAACCTTAAACCCTAAGACCCTAAACCCCTGAACCCGAAACCCAAATTCGAGACCTGGAGGACTTTCAGGTTTTCGGGGGGTCTGTGTACCGAGCCCTCTGCAACGTCTTTTGGGGGGTTTATCATGGGTTTCCCTACTCCTCCCCTCTATACTACCCCCCCAAGGCTCCCCCCTTAAATGACCTTAATTAGGCTTCATTACCTCTCAACAGCCCCAATTATGTGCTCCCCTTTTTAAGGTTTTTAGGGCATTTGGGGCATGTAAACCCCAGCGTCATAGACCCTAAGCTCTACCCTAAACTCTAGACTGCGGCACCCTAAGTAGGCTTATAGGTCCATCGGCTGTAAGAGGGACGAGATGTATAGATATGGTTCCCAAAATCAGGTTCATGTCGTCGCCAAAGCTCAAACCCAAACATCTGAAAAGCAAGCCCCAAAAACCCAAAAGCTCTAAACACCCATGAGCCCTGAAAACAAAACAAGGCCGTTGAAACCCTAAAAACCCAAAAGAACTGCCTTAAACACCCTCTAAAACCCCAAACCCATGTGGGGCTTCCGAAATTTTGCGGCACCTTATTGGAGTCCCTATTATCAGGGGATCCTACTATTTGGGGTCTATTTTAGGTGTTTAAGCCCTAAACCCTGAACCCTAATTTCCGAAACCACCATGTGCTGTGTTTTGGTTTCTGCTCTTGGGTGGAACTGGGTTTTGCTCACCAAAGCACGGGGCTGCGTCTGTCGAGCCGAGATTCATAAGCCTTCACCTTTAGGGTTTAGAGTTTCAGGTTTAGTATTCAGTGGTTGAGTCATCCCAAAGGGCAATTCATGTTGCACCTCGCTACCCGCTATTTGGCGAAGTTCCGGAACAAATCAAGAGGATACCCGGGGTTTAGGGCTTAGGGTTTAGGCTTAGGGTTTAGGATTTAGGGTTTAGGATACCCCTATTGACAAGGGTTACCCGCAATTGTGCAAAGTTCGCGGCCCATGGATGAGGGGTGGGGGGGGGGGGGTCGGCGTGATTCCAACTTCAATCTTCGGAATTTTTCTGGAGTCCGTCTTTGTATAAACTCCTTTGATAATGTTCATTGCGAAATAGGCCCCCCCCCCCCCCAAACAATCTTTCAATGGAGTAGCCTACGAGCTGCCCTCATGCGCTTTGGTATATTGTTTCGGTTACCCGCATTTAAGCCGCAGCCCCCTGGCCAGAGAGCCAAAAAGCCGGAAGACCCTCAAGGCCCTCAAGCTTCAAGGCGTCCCCTAAACCCTAAACCCTCAACCATAAAACCTAAACCCAGAACCCTAAACCCTGAACCCAGAACCCAAAACCCTAAACCCTAAATCCTAAACCCTGAACCCTCAACCCTAAACCCTACGACCTAAACATTATACCCTAAATCCTAAACCCTAAACCCTAAACCCTAATCCCTAATCCCTAAACCCTAAATCCTAAACCCTAAACCCTAAACCCTAAACCCTACCCGCAGCCCTGGTTCCGTTTATTCAGGTGAGCAAAAACCCCGAAATTGTTTTGGTGGGGGGGGGAGGTCCAGGTAGATACTAAGGCGAGCGCAACATTGCATCGTCCCTCGCCCTTTCTTAAAGCGCTCTGAAGCCATGGGCCCTTGAACTGGGTTTGGGGTTTCGCACAAGTATACCTACCCTCTCTATAGCTACATGGACCCGAAGGGCTACATATAGGGGCCTCAAGAGGTTGAGGACCCCAGATCAAGCACTACAAAGCCTATGCGCGAAGATTCCAAAGCCCTTGAAGGATTCACATGCTTCGAGGATTTCGGACCCTACGCCCTAGAGTACCCTAAACCCAGGGGAGGTTCATGAGACCTAAGATAGCCCCCTCTTGGTCGTTTCAACCCTTCAGAATCATCTCGGCTCGACTTTCTCAGCCCCCACGCGTGCCATGGGCCATATGCATTTTGAGTCCGTGCTTTCCTGGCGGCTTCCTTCAGACAGGAACCTCGATAACCCTAAGCCACAACTGCAAACATACCTCCTCTGGAGCCCCCACCCCAAACCCACACAATATAGTGGTCGGAAGAATTACTAATAGTCTTCCCTTACATGGTCCCTTCTATGATTATACTACAATAACCCCCCCCCCCCCCCCCAAAACCCTGTTCTTATAACATTTCAGGCCGCTACGTTTGCTTCCCTGTCTCTTCTACCGGCCCACCCCAACCGAAGCCGTTCTCCCAAGCAAGGTCCTCCATGCCAGCCGACATGCGTTCAGCACAAAGAGGAGAGGGACGCGCGCAGCCCCCACCCCGGAAAGGCCACAGGCCACAGAGAGGATTTAGGGTTTAGGGTTTAGGGCTGAGGGCAAAAGGGCTTTGCATCCTAAACCCTAAACCCTAAACCCTAAACCCTAAACCCTAAACCCCAAACTGGGAAATTGGGGAACGACCGCGTTGTCCCCCGACTGC